ATCCCTGCGTTGGGCTCTGTGCTGACAGCTAGCTCAGAGCCTGGAGCCTGTTTCAGATTCTGTATCTACCTCTCTCTCTGAACCTCCCCAGCTCATGCTGTCTCTCTCTCAGAAGTAAATAGAACATTAAAACAATTAAAAAAAAAAAAGTTAAAGAAAATTTGTGCCTTGTGCTCAATAGGAATCCTAGATTTGGGGCTAAAAAGAATCCTTTGGGGTACATATTAAAAATGCAGATTATGTGGTTTCTCCTGGAACTTCTGTTTTGTAGGTCTGAGAGGGATGGTCCAGATACTTGCATATAAAGAAGCTTCCCTGGGATTCTATTGCACTGATTTTGGAATCACACTTTAAGATATACAACATTAAGTTATTGCTGATACTGTAGTCTCACACTGTAATGTAGACTAGAAAACGAATTTAAACAAAAATGAGGTTTGGGTTTGGGGGTTTTCTTTTTGGAAGCATTTATGGTTTTATAAATATTGTCTTACTTGAATGTGAGAAACTAATGACTCTAACATTTTCTGAATATTTATAACACGTACCTAGTCATTGTTTAGGCAATTTCCATCTATGAACTTGCATATACCTCAGATACCTATTAGGTTAAGTGCAATTAGTCCCACTTTACAGATAAAGAAATTGAAGCACAAGAGATTGAGTAACGTGCCAATGCCACATAGCTAAGATTCAAACCTTATCAATAGAACTCCAGGGTTAGTCCTTATACTATGTTGTCTCTCTTCATTTTAACTCAAAGGGGCTCAATTTTCCCATCTAAAACAGAGTTGGTTTGATCATAAATGGTACAAACTCTTTGCCCAGCTCAGTGGAAAGATTACAACTAAGTACCTTTTGGTTATTACAACTTGATAACATTGTGGGATAGGTCTGAATGTAAGGGCAACAGATTTCATGCTAGTCATAGGTCACTGGGCATTATTAGCTGTGTATATTTACTGTATATGAACTAGTTGATAGGATAAGATAATCTTTAAAAGGCTTTTTCCTTTTCATGCATTATGTGTTACAAAGTCCATCAGTGGATTGTTTAAAACAGAAACTTAAAAAACCTCAAAGTGGAGCTTTCTTTAAATAAATCCTGTAAAATAGTGACCATTTTGGGTAACATTTCAAATGTCTCCCAGAACCCTTATACTCCATAATTTTTATTTTTTATAATTTTTATTTTTAAAGTTTATTTTATTTATTTTGAAAGAGAGAGCACAAGCGGGGAGGTGGGAGAGAGAGAGAGAGAAAGAGAGAGAGAGAATTCCAAGTAGGCTCCACGTTGTCAGCATAGAGCCCAATGTGTGGCTTGAACTCATAATCATGACTTGAGCCTAAATCAAGAGTTGGATGGCCAACTGACTGAGCCATCCAGGCGCCCCAAGTCCACAATTTTTGAATGATGAAAATTAAACTAATTAATACATTTCAGAAAAAATTTGCAAAAGTTTCAATTAAAATAATTTATTCATGAATACATGTAATAAGCACTTATTAAATACTATTTGCTAGCATTTATGCTAGACACTGGGCAATAATAGTTACCATTTGCTGAACTCTGATGTTGGTATTTTTCTTCTCATTTTATGGTTGGAGACATGGTGAAGTTAAGCATTTTTCTGGAAGATCTCAAGTCACACAGTGGCTGTGCCAATATTTGAATCCTCATCTATTTGGTTCCAAATCTGGCCCATTGCATTACTTTGGATTACTGATGGATACTTTACTAAATGAATTACTATAGGGGTCCTGTAAATAGTGAGCATCCATAGGATTCTTTATATTGAATTCTTACCGTGTTCAAGAATAAATCTACTATGAAAACCATACCACCACACGGTTTATGCAAGGGAGGTCTTATTAAACGTTGGTGAACGAATGTAACTTAAATAGGTTAGCTCTAGAGTTACTATGACTACATTGAAGTTCTCTGTTTTACTCGGCAAGGTTCACATTGCTCATTTGTAAATTCAGGCAAAGTACTTTTGTCTCAAAACCACTGTGAAGAATAAATGAAACACTGTACATGTAACACCTAACACTCAATAAAAAACAGTTAAAAAAGCATGCTATAATCTTGAAATGATTATGTTAAGGCCATAAATTGAAACCCTAGGTAGATATTTGGGGGGGCGGGTCTAAAAATTATTAGATAGAATCATTAGGACTACTGGGAACAAGTAGAATAAAGGAGTCACTGAGAGACCTACGATTATAAGGTTGATATCTGCTGTGTAATGGTGTGGTTAAAGACAAAATTGTGAAGTTAGAAGCAATACTGGATCGTGCAAGGTGCAAAGTACAAGGCTTTTCCTGATCTTCTGAGGAGAAAAAGAGATGCAGGATTTGAATAGGCAAAGAAGATAGAAATTGTATATTACTTGAGTGATTAGATGAAAAGACAGATGAATACATAAAAAATTAATTCAAAATGTACTTATTGGGTGCCAGGTACCAGAATTTTATTGCCTAGCAAGAAAAGATCCATGGTGGTAGTTTCAGAATTTCTATAAAAGAGAAGCTTGGGGATAGCAATCTTCTTTGGAAGGGTGTGGAGAGGAGGGTATGGGTGGGGAAGAGGATTTGTCTTAACGACTCTAATCTCTTAGCACTTTAGCTGGGGTTTGAGAAAATACCAAAAAAGAGGGAGGGGCACTGATTGAGATTAGGCTAGAACTAATTATCTTCAGACTAACCTTCAACTCTGCCGCTGCAGACATATAAGGCAGACATGCATAACTAAACAATAATAAATTACCAAGATACTTATTTTAACAGGACTCTGAACAAAGAGCTGTGTCAGCATGAAGGTGCAAGCATTTACTTTTCCTTTGGGGAGGAGTAGATAAGAGAAGGATTTAATAAAAAGTTGTGATTTTAATACAGCCATATTTATCACACTTGAAAAAGGGAATTAATGTTATAAACAGAAGGAACAACACAGATCTTCAAAGACAGATTAGAGACCCTGCAAATTGTTTCCAACGCGGCTGAAGTGGAGGTAAAGCTGGAGATGAAGTGTTAGCAGTGGCCCAATCATTATAGGCCTACATGTTTTGAAATTCATCCTATAGTTTGTTTTAAAAAATTCTTTTAATGTTTATTTATTGTTAAGAGAGAGAGAGAGGGAAGGAGAGAGAGGGTGCACACACACGAGCAAGGGAGAAGCAGAGAGGAAGACACAAAATCCGAAGCCGGCTCCGGGCTCTGAGCTGTCAGCACAGAGCCAGACATGGGATTCAAACTCACAAACTGTGAGATCATGACCTAAGCTGAAGTCAGATACTTAACTGAATGAGCCACTCAGGTGCCCCTGAGATTTATCCTATGATTGATGGGAACCAATGAAGGATTTAGGTCAAGAGCAGCGACAATGATAGAATGCTACCAAACATTTTAAGAAGATCAAAGGACTATGCATTTGAACGAGATACAAGCAACATGACCACCCCAACCTCTTCTTTGTGGTCCCTATACTCGAGGAATTTACATAATCATGGGGAGAGAGAGACAATAAAAATAGACATATGATACAATATCAGATAGTGATAAGTGCTGGAAGAATAAAACAGAGGAAGGCATAGAAGGATTGGGCAGAGGTAACTTGTCTTAAGGCAAAATCAATGTTCTTTTCACTAATCTCATCTCATAGCCACCATTAAAAATTGGTTTCAAGATCCTCTCTCACTTTCCAACACAACATCTCTATTATACTGAAATCTTAATGTTGTGAACCTATCTATATATTCCACTTTTTGTCTAATAACCCCTTTACTTTCTTCAACATCTGTGTTGTCTTGCCAAAGCCCAGAAAATGAGGAACAAATTCCCCTCTGACAGTAATAGAACTCATTAACAGGCTGCACTGAAAACCTTTCTCTACCATATTTTCTACAGTGTCTCTGTATTTCATCCAGACACAAGTTTTCACGATTTTTTAAGTCCTCAATGTTTGTAGTTTGGCTCACAAGATCTGTATGTTTCCTTCCTTCTTCTTCTTTTTTTTTTTTTTTGCTTAAGAAACAAGTTATGTACTGAGCACTTAGTTTGGCAGACACTTGGCTAGGAGCAGAGAAGGGCAAAAGGCAGTCCTGACCTCTGGAGCTGATAGCTGTGTTCAGTGCAAACGAGGCTTGGGGTTTAGGGGATCTGAAATCTGTTAGGCTAAAGTGGAGGAACCACTTGCTGCTGGGCCTTAGATGGCTGGCTTGAAGTTAATACAATCCTGTGTGATGTCAACAGTGCTCAGAGGCCTATGAGAAGGGGAGCAGCATACTACTTGTTCTTGAAGAGTTTCCAGTCCTTTCTCCAAGTGTGACGTCCTGGCCAGCCTCCCACCCTTCAACATCTGGAGTCTAAATAAAGGAATGCAGATCTTCAGGAGTCACCTAAATCTACTGAATCACAATGTCTAAGGGTGGGGCCCAGAAATCTGCACTTTAATCAGCAATATCCCCAGGCCATTGTTATGTACACTTAAAATTTGAAAACCCTAGGCTTCTCCTACCTTTTACCACTTCACTTTCACCAGAAGTAGTTACTAATATCATGGCTATTTTCCGGAGAAGGAAATTGAGGCATAGCAAGGTTGCTTAATTTGCTAACGTCACACAGAGCTAGGGTTTGAAGATCAGCTCCTAGTCTCAAACATTGCAATACGGTCATCTCTTCTCACTAAATGATTTGTTGCTAATATTTCAAAAAGCATCGGGCTTGTAGTTTGAAAAGAGCCTGAAGGCCCACTAAGTTTAGTCTGGTGAACTTCGGCGACTCACTCACATTTTGAATTTCAGGTCCCTCGCCGGTTAAATTTAGGCCTAAACACCCTCACCTGCAAGATGCCCTGATGGGACAGGCGAAGCAGCCGACAGGGCAGGGAGGCGATCGATGATTTAGGCGCGCCGCTGCCTGTTAGATTGGCTCGAGGCTCTCCCGCCAGGCCTGCCCTGCTCCCGCGCGCTCGTGGGCCCGCCCCCGCCGCCATCTTGGCCTAGGAGGGAGCGGGCCGCACGCGAGAGTAAACAGCCCCAGCCGGCAAAGTCGAGTTCCGGCCGTGTCGCGGTGCCGCCGGGCAGCGGCGGAGAGGACGCGGTCCTGATCTTCGTCCGTGAGGTTAAAATCTGGATCGCGGTGCTAGGCCCCGGGGAACCCTCAGCGAGGCTCACCCTCTGCCCCCTCGCGGCGAGACGCCTCGCTCCCCGAGCTTCTCCCGCCCCCCGCGGGTCTCCTCCCACTGTTGAAAGCTGCCCGGGAAAGTGGTGGCGGGAGCGGGCCTGGGCCTGAGCGCGGCGTGGACCCGGCTGCGTGCTGCGAGGCGCAGGAGGAGGTTAGGGTCTTGGGTTTGGGGGCCAGGGGCCAGGCATGTAGGCGCGGTGAGGCGCCGCGGCGGTGAAGCCGGGGGCGGACTCTCGGGCTCGGACCGAGTCACTGCGGGTCTGTTTCTGTCGGTCACTGGGTTTTCTCCTTTTCCGGTTCGTGTCTCAGGGTGGCCGACATGACGGCCCCGGGTGAGAGCCCCCTGGAGCCGCTGTTGGAGACTTTGGAAGACCCTTCCGCCCCCCTTGGAGAGCAGACCGACGCTTACCTGACTCTGACCAGGTAAGACCCGCTGGGGTTGGGGAGGAGGTAGTTGCGGTGGGGCACGCAAAACGAGTTTGTGTATTCTGGAAGTCTGGCGGCTGTGAGGACGCCGGGGTCGTGGGCAAGGTGGGGGGTGGCGGTGCGTGCTAAGTGACGTTCCCCGGTGTTGCCGCGGCACTCAGGGCTTGTGTTTGGAATGAGGAATCCTGCACGTGTGTCTCACAGGCGAAGTGTTTTTTGAAGTTTGGTTAGAAGTGGGTGTGCTGGCTTGATGGTTTTAAGTGTAAGGTGTCCATGTATTGGGATAACGTGGGACCCCAGACTTATTTTTTAATAGGGAGCCAAAACCCGAGTTTCATTTTTAATTATAAATGCCTCGCAGTATTTTTTCCTTTGCAAATCGTATTTTGCTGAATTATCTGTAGTTATTTGGAAATGCTAGGAGAGGTTAACAGTTGGTACAAAAACTATAAAGATTTAGTAAATTTCTAAGTAAATGGGTAATTTGGGCTAGGTTTTCATGCTTTTCACATAGTGATAATGTCTAGATGTGTACACTTTGGATGCAAAAGTTATTCTTGGGGTTATTTTTGCGTTAATTTCAGATGTATATTGCGGGATAAATTCTCTATACAGGTGTTAAGTATTTTAAGCCCCTGGACCAATCAAATTTGTAGAGTTCTAACAAATTTTAGAAGTATAGAGGTGAGTGTTTTAGGGAGTGATTATTATTTCTTTCGTGTGCTATTTGCATAACCTTGTGTTCTTTCTGCTTTTAAGTCGCATGACTGGAGAAGATGGAAAAGAAGTCATTATGGAAATTGAGAGAAAACTTTCTCGGCTATTCAGAGTTTTAAAAGTATGTATGTATTTATTGAATAGTTTCAACTTTGTGGGGAAAATTTTTTACCAGCTATCCCATAAGACCTTTGTTGTTGTTGTTGTTTATATTTATTTTGAGAGCAAGACAGCGACAGGGAGGGGCAGAGAGAGAGAGGGAGACACAGAATCCTAAGTAGGCTCCAGGCTCTGAGCGCAGTACAGAGCCCTTTGCAGGGCTGGAATCCACCAATGGTGAGATCATGACGTGAGCTGAAGTCAGATGCTCAACTGACTGAGTCACCCAGGCGCCCCACTCAAAAGAACTTTGAAATGAGGGGTGCCTGGGTGGCTCAGTCGGTGAAGTCTCTGATTCTTGATTTTGGCTCAGGTCATGATCTCATGGTTCCGGAGTTCGAGTTGGGCTCCAAGCTAACAGCTCAGAGCTTGCTTGGGATTCATTCTCTCTCTCTCTCTCCCTCTCCCTCTCTCTCTCTCTCCTCTCTCTCCTCTCTCTCCTCTCTCCCCCTCTCTCCCCCTCTTCCCCCCCCCCAAAGCTCTCTCTGCCTGTCCCTACTCTCCCTGCTCTCTTTGTCAAAATAAATAAGCATTTTGAAATGACACAAAAGCAGGATTATTTTGAGTACTTAATATTTATCAAGTAGTTTTAAAAGTACATGTATTCACACCTAATCCTCTGTCCCTATGAGGGTATTCTTTAACCCCCACTTTGTAGAAGAAATTGGTTTAACTTGCCTAATGTTGCCTATGGCTACATGAATCTAAAACCTGTGCCTTTTTTTTTTTAACAGCAATTATCAGATTATTTCATGTTTTCTGTCTTGATAGGAATGTACTTTTAAAGTAAATGATTCTGTAATTTTGTCTTTGTTTTGTGGGTAGCATCCTTTTTTTCTTTTTTTTAACCTTCACTTAACATTAGTTTTTGCCACTCTTGCCTGGTTAAAAAACCGTTATTACAGTTATCTTTTTTGCTTATTTGTGGGGAGGTGTTTAACATCTGACTGAGGACTTCTGTTCTTATCCTCACTTGAGTACACAGTGGCTTTGTGATTGCCCCTAACACCCAACTTCTCAATTCCTTCTTCCTTAGAATGAAGAGGTTGAACTAAATCTCCAGAGTTCTTATTTTTATGACTGTGTTTATGTGCTTTTAAAAAGGTATTCTATCATGATATTAAGTGTACATGTTAGCATGATTTCTGCTGAAACGTTGAGGCATTTAAGGTACTGCTTACTCTTAAGTATATCTCTTACAGTCCTCTGTGCTTTTTGTTCATGTAGGCAGGAGCCTTTTTTTTGTAGTAGTTCAAGACTTATTAATAATAGTATATTTAAACAATATTAATAACATTGTCTCATTTTTTTCCTCATTATCCTTCTCCACATTCTAGCAGTATTTTGGATGTGATGAAAACATGCAGTTTTATAAATTTGGTATTTGAGAACATGTAAAAGCAGGAATTCAATGGCATACACTGTTTGTTAATAGAATTTGTAACTTAAATGCCTGATGAATAATTATTTGGAGGCATGTAGGTGGTTAATGATAGGAAAATCAACAGAAGCTGGGCAATCAACAAAACCTTTCTTGGTGAATTATTAGGCACAGCAAGGATAATTGAACTCCTTTAGAACAAGAACCAGGCTAGTTGAAATACAACATGTTTCTATATTGTTTAGAATTCTGTTAGTATTGAGTCTAGGAACCCCCATTTTTAAAATTTTTATTATTTTTTTAATGTTTTATTTATTTTAGAGAGAGACAGAGAGAGAGTATGAACAGGGGAGTGTCAGATTGAGAGGGAGACACAGAATCTGAAACAGGCTCCAGGCTCTGAGCTAGCTGTCAGCACAGAGCCCAACGCGGGGCTCAAACTCACAAACCGTGATAATCATGACCTGAACCATAGTTAGACATCGTTCAACCTACTGAGGCACCCAGGTGCCCCTTCCATATTTTTTTAAAAGTTTGTTTATTTTTGAGAGAGAGAGAGAGCATGAGTTGGGAGAGGGCAGAGAGAGAGACAGACAGATCTAGACAAAGAATCCAAAGCAGGCTCCACACTTTCAGTACAGATAGAGCCCAACACAGGGCTTGAACTCACGAACTTGGAGAACATGACCTGAGCCAAAGTCAGAGTCTTAGTCCACTGAGCCACCCAGGCAACCCCCACCCCCAAACTATTCTTGAAGACAACACTGTTAAGGAATACTTTCAGGCAATATATATTTAATGAAAGTTGATCAGAGATATTCTGGAGATACAGTAGTAGCTCTCAAGGTCTTAGATGTTTAAGACTATCTCTTTGTGGTTCTCTGAACTGGTTGTTCTGTTATTTCTTATGCTCCAGGGTTTGGTCTTCATGTTTTATTTGATTAATTATAAAAGGGGTGTCTGTCCCAAGGAAGTGTCTGTTCATTTTTTTTTTTTAATTTTTTCGTGTTTTATTTATTTCTGGGAGAGCAGAGGAGGGTCAGAGAGAGAAGGAGATACAGAATCCGAAGCAGGCTCCAGGCTCTGAGCTAGCTGTCAGCACAGAGACCGATGCGGGGCTCGAACTCAGGAACCATGAGATCATGACCTGAGCTGAAGTTGTGTGCTTAACTGACTAAGCCACCCAGGCGCCCCAGGAAGTGTCTGTTCATATACTTGACTATTTTTCCTCCTCAAGAACAGCGAAGAGCTGAGAATTCCTTGGATATCTGCTTCAGAGTAGTGGGAGGATTTGAAGATAAATCACTTTGGAATAGGAAATGATACCCAGAAAAATACAGGGTTACAATTATAGAGTTGGGGAATATAGCAGGATTGCCTTTGAGAGGTTTGGGATTTTATAGCTTTCACATACATAATAAGGATTGGATTTTGAATTCCAGATGGACAGTCAAATTCTCCAATCTGCAAAGTAGGGATTTCTTTTAAAAGATTGAGATAATGCTTAAAGCTTCTATCACTTTAGATACTCAGTAAATGTTACACGTTCCAACCCCTCACTGTCTTATAGAGGTGTCACTCACTCTGAAGCTAGGATATCAGCTTTTGTCCTTGAGTCTTTACCTACCTTTTGTGGAAGTGTCTTCAGCATTTGCCATTTGTTGGCTTTTTTATTGCCTTCAGGTGTGTGGAGATGGAGATGTTCTTATCTTTTAAGAGAAACCTTTTTTTAGGTGATCTCTAACTAGTGCCATTCTTCCTTTCTTGGCCAAGCTATGTACATGACTTCCTGATTTTATTCCTTTTTTATTTACTCAAACATTGATTAGATTAAAATAATTTTGTTTTCTGGTCCACTTTTGTTCCCTCAGAATTTATTTATAATTGTAATTGTTTATAACAAATGTGCTTTTTGTTTTTACAGATTCACATTACCAGTCAAAACTCAGACCTCAGTAGTGCTGCTCTACAGGCCTTGGGGTTTTGCTTGTATAATCCCAAAATTACCTCAGGATTATCAGGTAGTTAGATTTATGAATTAATATTTTTTAGAGTTTATAAGTATTTTGATATGTTAAAAGTACTGTTACCTCTCTATTAGTTTTGTGACTTGTAGTCTAGGATTTGCTTTTGACAAATGTTTTATCATCATCATCAGATCTCTTTTTTTCTAGATGTACATTTAAATTTGATACCATAAAACTTGTTCAAAAAAGAGTACAAGCCTATTTAAAAATGATTGCAGTGAAAATTGAACCTCTTCCTATATAAAGTATATTTGCTTTGGAGGTTAATAATTCAGATGGTCATTTATTGTATAAAACAAGCATATGTGCTAAGGAACATGCTGAATTTGAAAATCTTTTAATAGTGGTAATTGGGAATTAAATTTTAGTTCCATAATTTGGAACTAAAAGTAGCTAAGTTTTCAAGTAATTTAATTATTGCTCTGTAGTTTGTCATTTTATTTTATTACTTTTTTAAAGTTTTATTTATTTGAGAGACAGCGAGGGAAAGGCAGGGGGAAGAAGAGAATCCCAAACAGGCTCAGTGCGCCTCAGACCCACAAACCGTAAGATCCTGGCCTGAGCGAAACCAAGAGTCTGACTCAACCTGCTGAGTCACCCAGGAGCCCCTGTAGTTTGCCATTTTAATGCAAACGTGGGAGGGGATCTTTACAAAGGGGGAAATCAGGGATAGTAAGGATGCCTTAAAGTTATTACCATCTTTTTTCTCAAGGTAAAGTTTCTGCCCTTTCTTTTTTATATGTGGAAATGTTCCCAATTTAAAGTAGAAGTTGTTCATTTTAGAGCAGACATACAGGATTTATAACATCTTGTCAACAATTGTCTTTTATCTTCAGTGCTGTTAATGATGCCTGTGTAGTTTTTTCATTTGCACAAAATTAAGGCTACTACTTGTTTTCTCTGGTAAGTTTTGTGTTTTGGGAAGAAGTTTGATATCAGCATTGATTCACTGATCCTTTTCTCTGGATGTGCATTTAATTTTTTGACAATGTGGAATATGTTTTTTTCCCTCTGTTTCTGTATTTGAGGTTTTAAAGGATATAAACTGTTCTACATGATTAAAGCTGCTTGTTTTTCAGACACAGACATTGAAGAACTGCTTTTAAAATTGAATGACAGTGTTAAGAGCTCAGACAAAAATGTACGTACTAGGGCACTTTGGGTGATATCCAAGCAGACGTTTCCCACTGAAGTCATTGGCAAAGTAGTGAGTATGGTTTTTGTATATGTTTTCTTAACTATGCCACTTAAGAAACTTCAGGTTTACTTGATTTGTATTTATTTGGTTCTGTCTTTTAGGTATCCAGTATAATTGATTCATTAGAAATAGTATTTAATAGAGGAGAGATGCATTCTGCCGTTGTTGATTATGAAGCATTAAATGTCATCATAAGGTATGAGTTTGCTGTTTTGGAAGAATAATTGCAGTAAATTTAGAATTTACTTCAAAGAGTAGACTTTGAGAACTTGAATATGAGTTAGACATTGAAAGAACGAAAATGTCTTCTAAAAGTCTCAGGGAGAAAAGGTATCAGGAAAAAGAAGGAATTAGATGAGTTTGAATTAGTAGGTTTCTTTGTTTATTTTTACTGAGTCATAAAAATAAAGTCTTGGTTGAGGGGTCTGGCTGCTTCATTTGGTAATGCATGCAACTCCTGATCTTAGGGTCATGAGTTCAAGCCCTGTGTTGAGTGTAGAGCATACATAAAGATAAATAGAAAAAAAAAGTCTTAGTTATGTTGATGCTGATAACAGAGTTCTGATTCTAAAAATTATTTCCATGAAAGTTTTTGCAAGAGGTTAAAGAATAATAGGCTTTCAAGTAGACTTGGAGGATATGTCGGTAGGCATTAACAGTGACTAGGCAGCAAATGGGAAAACTAGAAAATCCCCAACTTTTTCCTATCCATCCCTGCTCTTTAAAGGACATATTAACACACAAGCCTTATTGGTGTCATTCGTCTTACCTTGTTTTTTCATTCTTTAAAGTTTTCTTTAATTGAGCTATTTGCAGACTTAACTACTTAGTGTTCTGATGCCCTGAGTGATGCTCACGTTACCATTTTCTAGATGTCTTCTAAAAGAATGTTGAATTTAATTGTATAAAAACGTTGATACTATGGGCGGCTGGGTGGCTCAGTCAGTTAAGTACCCGACTCTTGATTCTGGCTCAGGTTGTGATCTCACAGTTTGTGAGATTGAGCCCTGAGTTGGGCTCTGCACAGACAGTGAAGAACCTGCTTGGGATTCTCCCTTTCTCTCTCTCCCTCCCGCCTCCCCCTGCCCTTCACCCAGTTGTGTGTGTGTTTGTGCTCTTTCTCCAAATAAATAATCATTAAAAAAATAATGTGGAAATCTACAAATTTGCAAGTAAAAATTCAATCTGTGTGTGTATGTGTATATGTATACTGAAATAAATGGATCATTGTGTATTTCTTTGTGCTGCTTGTTTTCCTAGTTGTTTAGACATAAAAGGTAAGGTCAAGCTAATTTATTCATTGACTTTCCTATTATAGGCTAATTGAACAAGCTCCAATTCAAATGGGAGAAGAGTCAATTAGGTGGGCAAAACTCGTCATACCTTTAGTGGTTCATTCAGCCCAAAAGGTACATTTGCGGGGAGCAACTGCTCTAGAGATGGGAATGCCGTTGTTACTTCAAAAACAGCAAGAAATAGCATCTATCACAGAGCAGCTTATGACTACTGTAAGTATTACTTTATGTAAGGATTTTTTTGAATATTGTGTTGTAAGTTTCTGGCCCAAAATTAGAGCTCATAGTGGTATGATTTCATTATGATCTAGGAAGTTCCTCTTTGAATAAAACATAAGTAATTGCTTAAGGTAGTGTAGGCAAATTGCTCCTAGATTAACTATTCAGTGTTTGTACAATTTAGGCATTTTACTTCATCACCAATGAATAGTGATTGAAAGGGATTGCATTTTTTTTCTTTAAAAAAATTTTTTTTAATGTTTATTTTTGAGAGAGAGAGACAGAGCATGAGTAGGGGAGGGGCAGAGAGAGAGACACACACAGAATCAGAAGCAGGCTCCAGGCTTTCAGCAGAGAGCCCGACACAGGGCCCAAACTCACAAACTGAGATCATGGCCTGAGCTGAAGTTGGACACTCCACTGGCTGAGCTACCCAGTTGCCCCAAAAGGGATTGCATTTCTGGAAAAGGGAGAGCATTAATTTGAGTGCTATTTGGATTGTTTGAACACAATCCCAATAGGTATAAATTTAAAGCACATAAGTGCATGTAATGTATACAGTTTCCTAATAACTTTTCTACCTTTATTCTTGTAACAAATATTTATTTAGCACTTGTTATATGCTGGGCATTGTTTTAGACACTGATTATAGCAGTGAACAAAAGGAGTTTGTGGAGTGTATTGTCTAGTGGAAGAGGCAATAAAGAATACAGTATATTCAGTAAAGAGCATGAAGGAGAACAGACTAAATAAAGAGTGCCATTGTAGAGGAAGGGTGAGGCAGTCAGGGAAGGAAAAAGAATAGAATATTTGAACCATGATTTGAAAGTGGTATAGGAATTAGCTACTTGGATAATATGGAGTAAGTTCATTCCAGGCAGGAGAAACCGTGAGAGCAAAGGGCCCTGTTCTGATGGTTGTATGTTGTTTAGTGTACAGTGAACACTGGGCAAGGACAGTATGATAGAGTGAATGAGGGTGAGAGGATAGATGATATTCAGAGGAACAGAGGGCCAAATCACATAGGACCTTGGGGATATTGTAAGGAATTTTTCACTTTGTTTTATTGAAAACCGCATTTGAAGGTTTTGAGTATCGAGCGTTATATGTACTGACTTGGGCTTTAAAGAGATTGCTGTGCCTGTGTCGAGAATAGACCCTAGAGGAGTTGAGTAGAAGAAGGGAAGGTACTTCAGAGGTAACTTCAGTAATCCAGGTGTGATGAGGAACCCTTCCAGATTTTAAAACCTTGGATTTGTTTATTTTTTAAAATTACTGTCACTAGGTCTCATGGTAATGTTTGGAGCCTAATAAAGTAGCTCCGTTGTCTTTGCAAGTTTTTTTCATTTTGATAAATTTATTTTCTAAGAGTATATATGAAATTCTTCATAAATTTGAACTAAAATGTTCTTAGGTGTCTGTTACCCGTGAAGCTATTAATGAAGTTTTAAGAGTGAAAAGTTAAAACATCATTTGAACTCTCATGATATACATGCTGAAGTTTTCAGGGAAACGTATATTGGTAGAAAAATATTAAGCTCAATTGAAAGATGGAAGAACAGATTTGTGGTAAGACAGTTATAGTAAGATGTTAACTGTATGTATTTGTATTTGGAAATTCACTGTAAAACTTTCAGCTTCGCTATATGCATGGAAATTTTTCTCACAAAACATTGGGAAAAGCTACTCAACTGGGATAGTCTGATACTACATATTTTGTTTTCCAGGAGTCTTTTGGTAAATGTTTTTGCATTTCTTTGCAGAAATTACTTTCAGAACTCCAGAAGCTATTTATGAGTAAGAATGAGACTTATGTGTTAAAATTGTGGCCTTTGTTTGTCAAACTTCTTGGGAAGGTAAGCCCACAGATAATGAATATAGTTCACAGTTTATACATGTGAGTCCCTTTCATTTCTTAACTTTACATAGTGGAGTTGATCCTCATATTCACATATGCCATAGATGTAAATTCAGCTGCTTAATAAACTTTGTTTGCAAACCTGCTGTAAGTACCTCTGCTTTTCCAGTGAGTTGCAAATCTGCAAAATGGCAAAAATTTGAGGTTCCACCCCTACCCCAGTGTGCAGGTTCCCAGCTGAGGTAGAGCAAGGTTATGCTATGCCTTTTTATTTGAGTGCTCAGTATTTGTTTTTAAACAGATGTCCTTTTCATAATCCACTTAGTGACATATTATTCACGTTTTGTGCTTTTTCTTGGTGAATTTAGTTTTAAATGACCCTCAGGCTTTGTGCCAAAGTGTTGTCCATGGTTCTTAGGCACAGGAAGATTGTGTGATGTGCCCTGGGGAGAAATTACATATATTATTTAAAAAATTTTTTTAATGTTTTTATTTATTCTTGAGAAAGAGAGAGACACAGGGCTTGAGGGAGGGATGAGCAGAGAGAGAGGGAGACCCAAAATCTGAAGCAGGCACCAGGCTCTGAGCTGTCAGCACAGAGCCCGACCTGGGGCTTGAACCCACCGACCACAAGATCATGACCTGAAATGAAGTCGGACACTTAACCAACAGAGCCACCCAGGCTCTGGGTGAGATTACGTGTATTAGATTAGATGAGCTCTGTTCGGGCATGAGTTACAGTGCTGTTGGCTGTGAGTTCATTGTTCATGAAACAGTACATATGGTGTCTTTAGACAGAAATAAATTGTTTTTCATGTTGATTGGTTGACAGAAAAGTTTCTCCTAGGAACCTAACCCTGCATCTTCCCTAGGAGCCATGGCTCAGTACTTGCTAATACAGTGTTTGTAGTAGACTTTATAGAACTTTGGTGAATAATGAGGATCGACTACATGTTCTGTCTTTAAGCCAGGTTTTGTGTGTGTTTGTTTGGTTTTGGTTTTTTGGTTTTTTTCAGGGGTGGGGAGCTGTTTTTCTTTATTGTGATGAATAAACATTTATTATAACCATCCTAAGTACATTTCAGTGTCGTTAAACATACACTCAGGTCTTGTAAACATCACTGCTATCTATACCTAAGACTTTTTAATCTCTAGTAACTTTATATGTGTTTAGCAAGAACTGTTTCTGCTCTCCTAGCCCCTGGTTTATTTATCTTTCTATATATAGCTTATTATGCTAGACATAATTTTTTCAAGTTTTATTCATGTTGTAGCACCTAACTAAATATCTTATGGCTGAATATTTCATGGCGTATAACTCAATCTGTTTACTCATTTGTTGACAGACATTTGAGTTATTTTTACCTTTCAGCTATTGTGAATGATTGCCATAAACATAAGTGTACAAATACCTGCTGTCTTCTCGACTTTTCAATCCCTTGGATATATGTATAAGAGTGGAATTGCTGGTTCCAACTTTTTCCACAGTGGCTTCACCATTTTACATTCCTACCAGTAATGCACCAGGGCTCCAGTTTTCCCATATTCTTGCCAAACTTGTTATTTTTTGTTTTTTTGATATGATAGCCATTCCAGAACATTTTGTTTTGTAAAACTGGGCTATTTTAATGTTTTTGACAATACATAAATAGTTTTCTTGATTACAGACATACAAGGCTGTTGACATACAAGAAACAATCATAGTAATGGTGGGATTTCCTGATTGGTGTACAATCTTCAGTAATTATAAGGAGTTATATGTATGTATGTAACTGCTGTCAAGCCAGTGAAACTGTATCTCTGCATCCATCATTTTCAGGATTGTTAGTAACTTGGGTATATTTCTCCCAAATAACCTTACTGTTTGTGTCAAAATAACCTTTGGTAGTAATACCCAAAGTTGTATATAGTGGGGATAAAGGGTTTTTCTTTACACCATATGTTGAGGTAAAAGGTGACTTTCAGGCGGAGATGTTTTGTGTCAGTCTTCTTGAAACATAAGTCCATTGGCCTAATTAATCTTTCACATTTAGGTGGTTTTCATATAAATCCATTTCCAGTGGAGCAGACTGTAGTTATAGCAACCAGCCTCATCTTTCCCTTTCCTGTTCCAGTAACTTAAAATTTGTTTCTTCTTGGACATTAACCTTGGACAGAGAGGGCCTTCCCATTTTCTTGCTTTCCCTTTTTGCTTTTAACTATATTTGAAAGTACTTTAGCTCAGGGCTGTCCCTCTGTGTCGAATTGGTAGCAGGTATTGTTCCCTGTGAATCTCTTAATCACTCTTAAGTTTGGTGTTTCCCTTTCATACATTTTTTTTTTCATACTTTTTTTAATCGTATTTTTTTTATTAGCATGGTGCTGTTTATGGTAGTGTTTAGCCTTCAAACCAGTTTGAACATTCGAGAGCTTCTTTCCTTCTTTTGCTTTTTCTCATAGTAATCCAAATGATATCCAGAGTAGTTATAGTGTAACTCAGTAAGTTGTTTTGTGGCTGGTGATTTTTTTTTTTTTTAGAGAGCAAGAGCACTGGGGAGGGGTTGGGCTCTTTCTTCAGCACCCTCCACACCTAGCACAGAGCCTGATGTGGGGCTTCATCCCACAGCCCCGCTGTGAGATCATGCCATGACCTGATATGAAATCAAGACTTGGACATTTAACCAACTGAACCACTCAGGCACCCCTGCCCACTTTTTATTTGGGTGGTTTGTATTTTTGAGTTGTAGAAGTTCTTTATTTTGGATGTTAATCCCTTATCAGATAGGGGATTTTCAAATCTTTTTTCCTCATTTTGTATATTATCTTTTCAGTTGATACTGTCCTTTGGTGTACAGGAGTTTCTAGTTAGCTTGTTAATTTGTTTTTAAGTTTATTTTGAGAGAGAGAGTGAATGAGCAAAGGGAAGGGGAGGTAGAGAGGATCCCAAGATGTGGGTCTTGAACTCACGAACCATGAGATCATGACCCACACTGAATCTAAAAGTCGGACGCTGAACCAGCTGAGCCGCCCAGGTGCCCAGGAGTTTTTAGTTTTGATGAAGTCTCTTAAAAGTTAGATTTTCTTTCATTGCCTGTGCTTTAGGTGTCATAGACATGAAATTCTTGCCAAGTCCAGTGTCATGAATCTTTTTCCTTGTGTATATGTATAGGATTTTTATAGTTTTAGTTCTCATAACGTTTTATATTTGATTGATTTTTTAGTTTATTTTTGTATATAGTATAAGGCAGGGGTCCAGTTTTCATCCTTTGCATGTGGATATTCAATTTTGCAACACTATTTGTTGAAAAGACTGATCTTTCTATATTGAATGGTCTGTTGACACCCTTGTTGAAAAGTCAGTTGACAGTATATGTGAGGGATTATTTTGGGGCTCTCTATTTCATTGGTCTGTATGTTTGTACTTAAACTATTACCATAGGCCTTAATTACTTCAGTTGTGTAGAAAGTTGGGAAGGCAGGTAGTGTGAGTTCTCCAACTTTATCCTTTTTCAAAATTGGTCTGGCTGTTTGGGACTCTTTACAGTTCCATAATGAACTTGAAGATTGGCTGTGAAAAAGCTGCTGGACTTTTAATAGAGATTGTGTTGAATTTGTAGATTGCTTTGTGTAATAATTGACATTTTAATGGTATTAAAAAATCTTTGTATACACGAACATGGGATGACTTTCCATTTATTTAGGTCTTTTTAAATGTTCTTCAGCAATACTTGGTAGCTTTTAGTGTAACAGGTCTTTCACCTCCTTGGTTAGATTTATTTCTAAGTTTTCATTCTTTTGGGTGCTATTGTAAATGGAAATAACGTGATTTCCTTTTCAGATTGTTTGTGGCTGTTGTGTAGAAATGCAGCTGATTTCTATGTGTTGATCTTGTATACTGAATTTATTAGCTCTAGTAGCTTTTACTTATGCATTCTCTAAGCAAGTTATTTTTTGTTATTTATATTCTGTTCAGTTTATATGTGATTTATAGCTGGTTGAGGTTGCGGTTTCATTTATAATGTATTTTTCCTTGTTATTCATTATTGCCATTTGTCCATTTTCTCCTTAACTTTTTGTCTTTTTCAGTATATTAGAAAATGCTATTTTTATTAGTTTCAGGGTTCGACATTTCTTACTTTTTTTAATTACTGATTTTTTTTCTTATGGATACCGTTAAATTTTACCGTTGGTAAAATTTGGGATTTATCTTAAACATTCCTCATTTTCCCTGGTATTTTAGAAATGTTCTGTGTTAGGCATTATGTATTTCATGGAGTCTTCTATTTTGTGATCCTGAGTTTTGAGTGTACATACAGAATTCAGTACATTTTAAACTTCAGGTTAAGACTTTCCATAGCTAACGTTGAATGAATTAGATACGTGGATAATAATAGTAGCTATACATTGTTTTAGGCAGGTAAATAACTTTGTAATAATTTTTCATTTTTAGACCTTGCATCGAAGTGGGAGTTTCATTAATTCTCTATTACAGCTGGAAGAACTAGGATTTCGTAGTGGAGCACCCATGATTAAAAAAATAGCATTTATTGCTTGGAAGAGTTTAATAGATAATTTTGCTTTGAATCCAGGTAGGTCCTATTTAAAATTTTTTATTTTTCTATAGATTTCACTCAAGGTGAAAAGAAAAAAGCTTTTCTGATTATTTTGGGCTTAATATTGAAATAACCTATTAAATATTTTTTTTAAGGGAATAAACTTATAGCTAAAAATAGAATTAGAAAGGCTAGGCATTTTTGAAATTTACAGATAAAAAATTTGTTTTAAACTGTTTCAAAAGCTGAACAAAATGACAGCTACCATTTCTGGCTTTCTTAGTATGTTCCAGCACTTAGTTGAGCACTTTGGGAACCTCTGATTTAATCATCACAACAGACCTGAGATATTAAGTGCTATTGCTATTATAGAGGTTAAGTAATTTTTCTTTAATCCAGCTTTTATGATTCATTTTTAAAATATTTTTTAATTTTTTAATATTTTATTTATTTCAGAGAGAGAGAGAGAGCGTGAGCAGGGGAGGGTCAGAGAGAGGGGGAGATACAGAAACTGAAGCAGGCTCCAGGCTCTGGGCACAGAGCTCTGAGCGCAGGCACAGAGCCCAACGCGGGGCTTGAACCCATGAACTGTGAGATCATGACCTGAGCCGAAGTCGGACACTCAACTGACTGAGCCACCCAGGCGCCCTGAGAGATTAAGTAATTTATCAAATGTCACATAGCCAGCAGCTGGTAGGAAACAATTATGATTGCTATGGAACAAAAGTATCAGTGACTGATGAACATTTTTCTTTCAGGACCTTTAGAACAGTACCTAATAGTGGGTTATTACCATTAATATATAGAATTGACTCCTTTTGATTTACCTTAACTTTATCTTACTATTGCCTAGTGGAGGTATTTGATACATAGTTGACCCTTGAACAGTGTGAGAGTTAGGGACACCAACACCCCACCACAGTTGAAAATCTGTGTATAACTTTTGACTCACCCGAAATTTAGCTCCAAGTAGCTCTGTTGACCAGAGACCTTACCAATAACATAAATTAGTCGATTAACCTGTATTTTGTATATGTATTATAAACTTTGGTCTTATGATAAAGTAAGCTAGGAAAAAGGAATGTTAAGAAAATTAGAAGAGGAAATACATTTATAGTAGTGTACTGTAAAAATAATTTGTGTATAGTGGACCCATGTAATTCAAACCTATGTTGTTCATAGGTCAACTGTAAATATGAAAAGATATGTAGCCCCAAAGTAGGTCAGTATGAGTACTTACTTAACTGGATAGTTAATCTTAGAAATAACCAGTATTAGATGTTTATAAGATCTGCTAAGTAATGTTGATTTCCTGCTATATTTTTCTCTGGCAGAGATCATTAATAATCCCTTTTTTCCTTTTTAAGTGTGTTTTATAAAGTGATTTTTTATTACCTGTGAATTTATTGAAATTATTGGTAAAAGTGCATTGCCAGGCACAAATTGTAATTGTAAATGTTACCTTTTTGTTTATGAACTGGTAATGTAAGTTAATGTTCTGGACTAAACCTGTTGGACTTATGTAAAAGGTTGAGCATTAAAGCATAAAATAGACATAACTTAAAGAAGGTAAATAAAATGCTGTCTCATTTGAAATAAGTCCAGAGTTAAAAAGTCTGTCCCTGGTATTATGGATCCAAGAAGTCTTAAGGAATCAGATGCCTATCTTTCTCTTCTGTCATCTTCAGTGTGCCTTAATTATAGATAACAGGAAGGGGAGAGGGCAGAAAAGCAAAAATGAACTTCTTCTCAGCTGAGCAATCTAGAGCTTTCCAGAAATTCTGTATACAGTTCCCTTTAAATCTCATTGGGTAGAATGGCTAAATGGGAGACTGAGTAAAGAAATAAAACAATGGGTATCCATCACTGTCCTGAGTGAAAGAGGTCCTATGACTAAAAGGTGGCAGCTTGATATCTGCTGAAGGGATAGTATTGTGGCACTCCTCGTACATATAGTAGGAGTTCAAAAAGGATTAGAGTATTTGTTCACACAGTGGTTTGACTTTATTTTCTTTATAGAAATACTAATTGTGAAAGCTAAATGGTAAAATAGCTGTCAGATATATTAATGCCATTCCACCAAATAACACAGCTGGACATATGCTTTAAAATCCTTGTTAAGTCTTTTGATAATTTACCTGAGCACAGAGGTCTTTTTGTGTGTCCCCAGTTGTGACACTCAACATGGAATATTAGGCTGAATAGTGTGTTGTGAGGACTGTGTTGAAGTTTAGCAGTACCCCTGGGAGCCCTCCACTAGATGCCAACAGCATTCTTGGTACCTCCTGCGTCTCAGGTCTAACAGCCAGAGATAGCATAGACAATGCCAATTGTCTCTTGGTGGGAAAATTGTCCCTGGCACACCCACAATATGTAGTAAACATTATTATTCTGTTTATTTATTTTTATTTTTTGCCATATTAAGTATATTCTAATACTGGCGTTTGTCAAAGTGAAAATTTGAGGTGTAACAAGAACAGTTGGTTTAAAAAAAATTTTTTTTAAGTATTTTCTTCTTTTTGAGAGAGAGAGAGAGAGAGACAAAGCATGAGCATGGGAGGGGCAGAGAGAGGGAGACACAGAATCTGAAGCAGGATCCAGGCTCTGAGCTGTCAGTATATAGAGCTTGACATAGGGCTTGAACTCACAGACAGCGAGATCATGACCTGAGCCAAAGTGGGACACTTAACCCACTGAGCCACCAGGTGCCACCCGAAGTATTTTTTTTAATGTTTATTTTTGAGGGAGAGAGAGAGACAGTGCAAGCTTGAGGGAGTGAGAGGCAGATAGAGGGAGACAGAAACGGAAGCAGGCTCCAGGCTCTGAGCTGTCAGAACAGAGCCCCATGTGGGGCTCGAGCCCGTGAACTGTGACACTATGGCCCGAGCCAAAGTTGGACACTTAACTGACTGAGCCATCCAGGCACCCTTAAAAAAAATTATTTTTAATCTGTTCTCTTGCAATGATAAAAGGACACTTAAAATACTTAGTCTTAAAATTTAGTTTTTAGCAAAACCACAAAATTTAAATTTAACTTCTTACATGTTTTTACCCACATGCTTATTTTCTTTTAAGAAATATTATGCAGTGCGAAAAGACTGAAGTTGTTAATGCAGCCTTTGAGTTCCATCCATGTGAGAACAGAAACTCTAGCATTAACAAAACTAGAAGTCTGGTGGTATTTACTAATGAGACTTGGACCTCATCTTCCTGCTAATTTTGAACAGGTAATACAAGTTTTGGCTATAATTGGAGTTTTTTAACGCGTTCTTAAACTTATTATAATTTACTGTCCAGTTGGTTTCCATACAACACTCTGTGCTCATTCCAGCACATTCTTAAATTCTTAATAGTCTACTCTTTTGGTGTTAAATTTGCTGTGTTAGCAGACCACAGTATATAAAAAAAATCTTTTTTTCCTAATGCAGAATATTTTATTTCCCTGGAAAGATTTTCCAGTTGTGTGAAATGGAGCCTCTAAGCTTTCTCAACCAGCAAACACTCAGATAGCTCTTCTTACTCTAAAGTCATTTTGAAAGATTTTTAAAAGGAAATTTCATAACATTTAGAATGTAATTGAGAATAAAATCAACACTACTGAAGTAGAAATCAAGTGCTACACTGGGTTGATAAGAAATTGGATCAGTTCTTATTTTTTGTAACTTTCTAGGTTACATAATGGTAACAAATCTGTCTAATCTGAGGACCGTAGGCTTTGGCCCTCTTCCTTGATGGTCACGTCATCGGTGGCCACTATGGCGGACCTGCTGCGGCCTAGCAGCAACTGCTTCTCCACCCCTACTGGCGCCATCTTGCCAACTGCCCTTGCTGCCATTTAGACATAAGGTTTAATCCCTTTCATACCTTATTTTTGCAGTGAATCCCAGTTTTGGTTTCTGAATATTTGTACCATAAGTAAACGTGGATAGCTCTGATAATTCCTTTTATCTTTTCATCTCTTTATCTGGGTTTTTGGAGTACATTTTACTTTTAAATCTGTAGTTTTGGTCTTCTCATCTTATGTGTATAACTGCATAGCAGTGAGTATATTCTTGGGATTTTATAATATACTGGAATTTTCAGCAAGTTCATAAAATTTTAATTAATGTACTAAAGATTTTAAACTTAATAGCATGAATTAATTAGAATTGGGCATTAATGGTAATATGTAACTGAGGTCATAATTTTTCCAAATTCTACCATTGTGAGGTCCTAGTAGGCTTATCTTACCCAGTTGTTCCGCTTGTTCATTGGTTGAATTTATGCACTGTCTAGATTTGATTGATACCAGAATGATCTTGGAAATGAACTTGAGGTTGTCTTACTTCATATTTCCTTAGGGTCCATTTTTTCCAAGCTTAAAGTCTGCACCGATAGTACTAAAACTCAGGCATTATTTATGAGTATAATTTCCCATTTGGAATTTAGTAGTGAAACTTACAGGTAGTACACATTTACTGCAAATGTAGTTGTAATAAAAATTTTTACTTTTCCAATTTTAGTATTTAGCCAGTGCATCCAAACAATAACCAGCAGGATTCAACATATCAAAAGAATTTAGATTGCTTCTTAAATTTAACTGTATTATGCAAGACTTTAAAAAAATTATGGCAAGTAGGTAGTTTAGCAGTAGTTTTCCTTTCTTTTTGTTTTTACTCCTAATAGGTGTGCGTGCCTCTGATTCAAAGTACAATAAGCATCGACTCTAATGCTTTACCTCAAGGCAGTTCATCTCGTGTAGCTCCTTCTCCAGTTTTAAATCCTATGACTCCTATACACAAAGGTAAAGTAGACATACGTGGTTCTTTTTCTGTTTTTAAGAAGGACTTGAATGAAGCCTTTGCTCAATGTTATTCATATAAAATGAAGCACTTCATAATTCTGGTTTCCTAATCACAAAATCCATTCTATACTCTTGATTGTTTTCCTTATGTGTTACTGTTGTAATTGCATTGTGGTAGTTGGAAGATTTGTTTTTCTACTGTATCTGTGAGATGTATTACAAATGACTGTTGAGTTTGTTTCAGAACCAGAACCTTAAGAGTTATTGTTAAAAACAACAGATCTTAACAAGATGTTTTTTAAAAAGTGGGTTAATATATATACCATTGAAAGTGATTTGCTGTATATTATTTTATGTTATTAGAGTCAGATTTTTGTGTTTAAATGTTAGAAATGTCTGCATATTAGTATTTCAAAGTATGGATTAATGCTTGATAATTATCTTAATTTAAATGGTATGTGACAGGGGCGCCTGGATGGCTCAGTCTGTTAAGTGTCCCAACTTAAGCTCACGTCATTATGTCGTGGTTCGAGCCCCACATTGGGCTCTGACTGGTCAGACCCAGGAACGTGCTTCAGATTTGTGTGTCTCTCTTTCTGCCCCTCACCTGCTCATGCTCCATCTGTCTCTTTCTTTCAAAAAATAAATTATAAAACATTAAAAAAAAATAAATGGATGTGACAGTAATCTGATTTTTAACCTGCTAATTAATTAGGGACTCCTGTGGGTTTAAACAAAAACTCAACTTTATTTGAGAAAGTATTTACTTTTAAAAATATATTTTGTTGAAGTAAATAAAATATGTTCATTTGGTTAACTAATTTAGCATATATAACTTTCCCCTCCCCCCCTTTTTCAGGTGCTTCCCCATATGGAACTCCTGTAACTCCTCGGATGAACTTGAGTTCAAATTTTGGTGGAATGGCCACAATCCCCTCTATTCAACTTTTGGGACTAGAAATGCTGCTTCATTTTTTATTGGGTCCAGAAGTCTTGAGTTTTGCTAAGCAAAACAAACTCGTACTGAGCTTAGGTATTTACTTTTAAAAAACTATTCAGAGCACAGTACTGTGCATTGGGGTGAGAAGACATCTTTTTTCCCCACAGATAAAATATTCTATAATTATGTATGATACAAGCATATGTCTTTTTACTAGAAAACACATCAGACCACCTAAAATTTTATATTGATATATTTATTTCATAAAGCTTTGGTTTGACATGATTACCTTTTTTTCTCTTTTTTAGAGCCTCTTGAACATCCATTAATCAGCAGCTCTTCTTTTTTTTCCAAACATGCAAGTACACTTATCACTGCTGTTCATGATAGCTTTGTTGCGGTTGGAAAAGATGCTTCTGGTAAATATTTAAGAAAAGATTTTATTATTTGTTTAAGCCTGTGTTTATAAAAAATAAAGTAGGAAATATTTATGCATTGCTATCTTTTGCCCAGATTGTGCTGCAGGAGCTTTACATATAAATCATTTAATTCTCAGAGTAACCTCGTTTGTTAGTCCATATTTCAGAGGAGGAAATTGCTTTGTACAGAGAAGTAAATAACTTGTACAAAGTCACATAGTAAGTGGTGGAGCTGTGATCAGACCTGGGCTCTATGGTTCCAGCGTCTACACTCAAAACTCCTGTGTTTCATAGCCTATAGGATATTGTGAAGAAATTTCAAAAATGAAATCGTTGCCTATTTTAACTGGCTGGGAAATTTTTTTAGTGGTTTTCAGGTGTCCTTTTGAAACTTTTTTTTACTTCTGTCAGAAGCAAAAAGTGTTTAATAAGGAAAATACAGGTACTAGAAAAAAGAAAAAATAATTACCCTTCGATTACATGACCCAGTGTTCATGTGTTACAGTTTGAAAAAATTTTTCTTTAAATAATGTTGTGGTAGTGTTTTCATAAACTGATTACAAGATTGAATATTATAATAATTCTATTTTAAACTAAGAATTACTCAACTTCTTTAGCATAAGGATTAAAAGGTGAGGCTTTATAGCATTGTCTGTTTTTTAAAATAGTATTATTTGTTTTGTTTGGCAGAAGCGGTTGTCAATGCTATTTGGAAGGAACTAATTAACTTGATGAAATCAGTCATTGAATCAGGTAACTACTGTAACACTGATCAAATAATTTTTATAGAACTCCATGAATTGTTTGGCTTTTATAAATAAAATTATTTTAGAGACAATTTTTGATGTATCCACAGACTTTAATTTTCTTTTAAACAAGGCTGTTTATTGATTTACTTTAAAAGTTAGTTTTTCTTAGCTAAATACATGTTTTATCTCTAAAAGTACTATATTTTCAGCCCTAAAAATACTTGAATGTTTAGAACCACATTTTTCCTTTTACTTTTTGATAGGTAACAAAAAAGAGAGACCAGGTTCTGAAGTTTTGACCCTCTTACTAAAATCTTTGGAAAGCATAGTAAAGTCGGAAGTATTTCCTGTATCAAAAATACTGGTAAGTAAAATAATTCTGTGCTGAAATTTAAAAATCATATTCTGAAATTGAAATTTTTATTGGAGATACTTACACAGATGATGTTTTTAGAAGATATATCAAGTTTTTATCAGCAATTTGGCCCTGTAGTAATGTTATTCCATTGACTTCAGAGTCATTTGAAACCTCAGTAAAGTAAATGACCACTGGCAATACAGAAATATTCCACTGTCATAGGAGTGAGCCATACAGAGAAAATTGGGATAAAGGACATGAAACGTGAACTGAAGAAACTCAGCTAAACATTAATTTTACAGGATTGCCAAACTCCATTAATTGTTAGTTTGTACATTTGAGAAATATCTGGTAATAATCTTGTGGAAATTTTGCAATTTAAATTAACTCTCTTTAACCAAGATAATGATTTTGGTATTAAACACCTTTTTTATTTCTGTATAGTAGAGAAGGAAAAAGTTGGAAATACTCTTTATAATAGTCCCCCAAGATAAACTGCAGATGAAGTCTTTATGTACTGGGACAGTGATACCTCCCCCTCTTGCAGTAGATCATAGTGGTTAATAGCAAGGGTTGGTTGGAGCAGACTAGGTTGAATTGCAGCCCAATTATTTATTAGCTGAGTGAACTTGGGCAGTTTAACTACTCCTTTACCTTTTGTAAGGGGAATATAATAGTATTATAACTAAGTTAATATGTGAAGAGCATGATAAGCCAGAAACAAAATAAATGAGTCCACAATTTATTGGACACACAATTAATAAATAATGCTATTTATTATTATTATTATTATCAGTGTGAGAGTGTGAAAGCATATCTTCACTAACATAACCTTTTCTATTTTTAGGGTTTTTTTGTTAAGGGAGGGAGGGAGAGAGCAGATTGCACATAGGAGGGGCAGAGAGAAAGAGGGAAAGAGAGAATCCCAAGCAGGCCCCACACTGTCAGCACACAGCCCGATTTGGGGCTTGACTCTTAAAACTTGAGATCATGACTTGCACTGAAACCAAGAGTCAGATGCTTACCATCAGCACCCAAGCACCCTAAACTTTTGTGTTATATCATTATGTCACGTTATGTCGTTCAAGGTAATAACAATATAATTTTTTTTTTTTAATATTTTATTTTTAGGAGAGAGAGAGAGAGCGCGAGCAGGGGAGGGTCAGAGAGAGAGGGAGACACAGACTCTGAAATAGGCCCCAGGCTCCGAGCTGGCAGTCAGCACAGAGCCCGACGTGGGGCTCGAACCCACGAACTGCGAGACCATGACCTAAGCGAAAGTTGGACGCTTAACCGACTAAGCCACCCAGGCGCCCCTATAATATTTTTGAATGGCAGTTTGATAGGCTGTCACACTTGAGAGGTGTATCTTTATTTTATTTTATTTTTTTTTTATGGTTAGCATTTTAAATTTTATTTTTCATTTTTTAAAAAATTTATTTTTAATTTACATCCAAGGTATTTAGCATATAGTGCTACAGTGATTTCAGGAGTAGATTCCAGTGATTCGTCCCCTATGCATAACACCCATTGCTCATCCCAACAAAGAGTCCTCCCAAATGCACCTTACACATTTAGTCCACGCCCCCACCCACACCCCTTCAGCAACCCTTAGTTCTCTGTATTTAAGAGTCTGTTATGTCTCTTTCCTTGTTTTTATATTATTTTTGCTTCCCTTTCCTTATGTTCATATTTTATATCTTAAAGTCCTCATATGAGTGAAATCATATGATATTTGTCTTTCTCTGAGTGGCTAATTTTGCTTAACATAATACCCTCCAGTTCAATCCACATAGTTGCATGTGGTAAGATTTCATTCTTTTGAGTGCTGAGTAAAGCTCCATTTTTTAATATATAAATATATATATTTTTATATACACACACCACGTTTTCTTTATCCATTCATCCGTCGATGGACATTTAGGTTCTTTCCATACTTTGGCTGTTGTCGATAGCACTGCTATAAACATTGGGCTGCGTGTGTCCCTTTGAAACAGCACATGTGTACCATTTGTATAAATACCTAGTAGAGCAGTTGCTGGGTTTTAGGGTAGTTCTACTGTTAATTTTTTTGAGGAACCTCCATACTGTTTTCCAGAGTGGTTGCACCAGTTTACATTCCACTTTTCTGCATCCTCACCAACATCTGTTGTTGGCCTCAGTTACTTTAGCCATTCTGACTGGTGTGAGGTGGTATCTCATCGTGGTTTAATTTGTATTTATCTCATGATGAGTGGTGTTGAGCCTTTTTTCATGTGTCTGTTACCCATCTGGATGTCTTTGGAGAATTGTCTGTTCATGTCTTGCCCATTTCTTCACCGGATTATTTGTTTTTTGGATGTTGAGTTTGATAAGTTTTTTTATAGATTTCGGATACTAACCCTTTAGCTGATTTGTGACTTGCAAATATTTTCTCCCATTCTGTCAGTTGTCTTTTATTTCTGCTGATTGTTGTTTCCTTTGCTGTGCAGAAGCTTTTTATTTTGATGAGGTCCCAATAGTTCGTTTTTGCTTTTGTTTCCCTTGCTACCTGAATAAGAAGTTGCTGTGGCCAAGGTCAAAAGAGTTTTTGCTTCCTTCCTTTTTCATGTAGTGTTTTTTTTTTTTTTTTTTTTGTCAAATTGACTAACATACAGCATGTACAGTGTATTCTTCGGTTTTGGGGTAGATTCTTGTGGTTCACTGATTACATACAGCACACAGTGCTCATCCCAACAAGTGCCCTCCTCAGTGCCCATCACCCATTTATTTCCCCTGTCTCCCACACCCCTAATTAACCCTCAGTTTGTTCTCTGTATTTAAGAGTCTCTTATGGTTTGCCTCCCTGCCTCTCTGTAATTTTTTCCCCCTTCTCCCATGGTCTTCTGTTAAGTTTTTCAAGATCCATATGTAAGTGAAAACATAAGATACCTGTCTTTCTCTGACTGACTTACTTCACTCAGCATACTACCTTCCAGTTTCATCCATGTTGCTGCAAATGGCATGATTTCATTCTTTTTCATTGCCAAGTGGTATTCCATTGTATATATAAACCATGTCTTTATACACCAGTTGATGGACATTTAGGTTCTTTCCTAAATTTGGCTGTTGTTGAATGTGCTACTATAAATATTGGGGTACATGTGCCCTGTGAGTCAGCACTCATGTATCGTTTGGATAAATTCCCAGTAGTGCTATTGCTGGGTCGTAGGATAATTAAGTTTTTGAGGAATCTCCACAGTTTTCCAGAGTGACTGCACCAGTTTGCATTCCCACCAATAGTGCAAGAGGGTCCTTGTTTCTCCACATCCTCGCCAGCATCTGTTGTTTCCTGACTTGTTAGTTTCAGCCATTCTGACCAATGTGAAGTGGTATCTCAGAGTGGTTTTGATTTCTGTTTTCCTGATAGTGATGTTGAACATCTTTTCATGTTTGTTGGCCTTATTTATGTCATCTGCCTGTTTCTTCACCAGGTTATTTGTGTTTTTGGGTGTGGAGTTTGGTAAGTTCTTTATAGATTTTGGATACTAGCCCTTTATCCAATAGTCATTTGCAAATATCTTTTACCATTCCATCGGTTGCCTTTTAGTTTCGTTGATAAAAAGAAAAAGCAGAAGCTTTTTATCTTGATGAGGTCCCAGTAGTTCATTTTTGCTCTTGATTCCCTTGCCTTTGGAGATGTGTCAAGCAAGAAATTGCTGTGGCTGAGGTCAAAGAGGCTGTTGCCTATTTTCTCTTGTAGGGTTTTGATGGTTTTCTGTCTTCACATTTAGGTCTTTCATCCATTTTGAGTTTATTGTTGTGTATGGTATAAGAAAGTGGTCTAGTTTCATTCTTCTGCATGTTGCTGTCCAGTTCTCCAAGCACCATTTGGTAAAGAGACTTTTTTCCCCACTGGATACTCTCTTCTGCTTTGTCAAAGATGAGTTGGCCATACATTTGTGAGTCCCAATTTCGGGTTCTCTCTTCTATTCTATTGGTTTGTGTGTCTGTTTTTGTGCCAATACCATACAGTCTTGATTGCTGCTTTGTAGTAGAGGCTAAACCCTGGGATTGTGATGCCTTCTGCTTTTGTTTTCTTCTTCAACTTACTTTGGCTATTCAGGGTCTTCTGTGGTTCCATACAAATTTTAGGATTGTTTATTCTAGCTTTGAGTAGAATGCCGTGCAGTTTTGATTGGGATTGCATTGAATTTGTGGACTACATTGGGTAGTATTGCTATTTTAACAATGTTTATTCTTAACAATCCATGAGCATGGAAAGCTTTTCCATTTCTTGGTTTCTTTTTCAATTTCCTTCATAAGTTTTCTATAGTTTCCAGTATATAGATCTTTTATGTCTTTGGTTACATTTATTCCTAGGTATTTTATGGTTCTTGGTGCAAATTTAAGTGCGATCAATTTCTTGATTTCTCTTTCTATTGCTTTATTATTGGTGCATAGAATTGGCACTGATTTCTGAGCGTTGATTTTGTACCTTGCAACTTTGCTGAATTTAGGTATCAGTTCTAGCTGCCTTTTGTTGTAGTTTTTAGAGTTTTCCATGTAGAGTATCATGACATTTGTGAAAAGTGAAAATTTGACTTCATCTTTGCCAATTCTGATGATGCTAGGACTTCCAACACTAAGTTAAACAACAGTGTTGAGAGTGGACATCCCTATAGTGTTCCTGATCTTAGGGCGAAAGCTTTCAGTTTTTCCCCATTGAGGATATTAGCAGTGGGCTTTTCATAAATGGCTTTTATGATGTTTAGGTATGTTCCTTCTATCCCAACTTTCTTGAGGGTTTTTATTAAGAACGGATGCTGTATTTTGTCAAATGTTTTTTCTGCATCTACTGACAGGATCCTATGGGTCCTAGCCTTTTTTTTGTTTTTAAACTAATGTGATGTATCACCATAGATTGATTTTGAATGTTGAACCAGCCCTGCAATCCAGGAATGAATTCCACCTCATCAGGGTGGATAATTCCTTTTGTATGCTGTTGAATTCAGTTTACTACTATCTTGTTGAGAATTTTTGTACCCATGTTTATCAGAAATATTGTCCTGTAATTCTCCTTTTTTGTGGGGTCTCTGTCAGGTTTGGGAATCAGGGTAATACTGGCTTCATAGAATGAGTCCAAAAGTTTTCCTTGTGTTTCGATTTTTTGGAACAGCTTGAAAAGAATAGGTATTTACTCTGCTTTAAATGTCTGGTAGAATTCCCCTGGGGAAGCCATCTGGGAAAGGACTGTTATTTGTGGGGAGATTTTTGATAACTGATTCAATTTCTTCAGTGGTTATGGGGGTCTGTTCAAATTTTCTGTTTCTTATTTGAGTTTTGGTAGTGTGTTGGTGTCTAGGAATTTGTCCCATTATTTCCAGCTTGTCCAGTTTGTTGGCATATAATTTTTCATAGAATTCTCTGATAATTACTTGTATTTCTGAGGGATTGATTGTGATAAATCCATTTTCATTCAAATAAAATAAGATTTTATCTTATTTGTGGGTCCTCTCTGAGAAGTCTGGCTAGGCGGTTATCAATTTTGTTTATTTTTTTCAAAAATCCAGCTCTTAGTTTCATTGTCTGTTCTATGTTTTTATTTTTGTTCTATATTGTTTATTTCTGCTCCAACCTTTTTATTTCTCTTCGGCTGGCCTTGGGCTTTCTTTGTTCTGCTTCTAGTTCCTTTAGGTTGCTGTTAGATTCTGTTTTTGGGATTTTTCTTGTTTTCTTTTTGAGACAGGCCTGTATTGCAGTGTATTTTCCTCTTAGGACTGCCTCTGCTGCATCCCAAAGGGTTTGGACTGTTGTGTTTTCATTTTCATTTGTTTCCATGTATTTTTTAATTTCTTTTTTAATTGCCTGGTTGACGCATTCATTCTTTAGTGGGATGTTCTTTACACATCCCAAAAGTTTCCAAAACTTTTTCCTGTGGTTGATTTCAAGTTTCATAGCATTGTGATCTGAAAATGTACATGGTATGATCTCATCTTTTATATTTATTTAGGGCTGTTTTGTGACCCAGTATGTGATCTGTCTTGGAGAATGTTCCATGTGCACTCGAGAATGTGTATTCTGCTTTAGTATGAAAAGTTCTGAATATATCCGTCAAGTTCATCTGATCCTGTGTATCCTTCAGGGCCATTGCTTCTTTACTGATTTTTTTTTTTTTTTCCTGGATGATCTATCCATTATTGTAAGTGGAGTATTAAAGTCCTCTGAAATCACATTATTAACCTATAAGATTGCTTATGTTTGTGATTGTTTTATATATTTGGGTGCCCCTGAATTGGGTGATAGACATTTATAATTGTTAGCTCTTCTAGATGGTTAGACCCTGTAATTATGATATAATGCCCCTCTTCATCAGTTGTTACAGCCTTTAGTTTAAAATCTAGTTTGTCTGATAGAAGTATGACTACTCCAGGTTTCTTTTAACTTACAGTAGCATGATAGATGGTTCTCCATCCCCTCACTTTCAATCTGAAGGCCTCCTCCGGTCTAAAATGAGTCTCTCGTAGACAGCAAATAGATGGGTCTTGTTTTTTTTTTGTTTGTTTGTTTTTTATCCATTCTGATACCCTATGTCTTTTTATATAGGCGCATTTAGTCCATTTACATTCAGTGTTATTGAAAGATAAGGGTTTAGAGTCATTGTGTTTTCTGTAGGTTTCATGCTTGTAGTGCTTTCTCTGGTCCTTTGTGGTCCTTGGAATATTGCACTCAGAGTCCCCCTTAGGATCTCTTGTAGGACTGGTTTAGTGGTGATGAATTCCTTCACTTTTTGTTTGGGAAAACCTTTATCTCTCCTTGTATTCTGTAAGACAGGCTTGCTGGATAAAGGATTCTTGGCCACATATTTTTCCTCTTCAGCACATTGAAAATTTGTTGCCACTCCTTTCTGGCCTGCCAGGTTTCAGTAGATAGATCTGCAGTTACCCTTATGTGTCTGCCCTTGTAGGTTAACACCCATTTGTCTCTAGGTGCTTTCAGAATTCTCTCTTTACCTTTGTATTTTGTCAGTTTCACTATGCTGCATCCTGCACAAAATTGATTCAGGTTAAGTCTGAAGGGAATTCTCTGTGCCTCTTGGATTTCAATGTCTGTCTCCTTCCCTAGATGGGGGAAGTTCTCAGCTATGATTTGTTCAGGTATACCTTTTGCTCCTTTCTCTCTCTTTTCTTCTGGAAATCCTATGGTACAGATATTATTACGTTTCATTGAATCACTTAATTCTCTAATTCTCCCCCTTGGGGTCTAGAATTATTTTTATCTCTTTCTTTGCTTCATCTTTTCCCTAATTTTATCTTCTATTTCACTTATTCTCCCCTGTCTCTTCAATCCTTGCTGTCACCACCTCTAGTTTATTCTGCACCTCATTTACAGCATTTCTTAGTTCATCATGACTATTTTTTAGTTCCTTGATTTGCAGCAATAGATTCCCTGCTAAATTCTTGTTCAGTTATTTTGCTTAGATCAGTTTTGATCAGTTCTTTCGTAGTCGTTTCTTCCTGGAATTTCTTTTGAGGAGAATTCTTTTGTTTCATCATTTTGGCTAGTTTTGTGTCCTTTATGTGTTTTAAAAGCTTGTTATGTGTCCAGCACCTGCGAGCACTACTGTATTAAAGAGGTGTCATACATTGTCCAGGGCCTGGCCCTCCAAGAGGTGTTTTTTGGAGTGTGTTACTTGCTCTCTGTTGTGTGACTCTGGTTGCTTTATCTCCCTACTCGTAGTGATGTTTTGGATGCAACACCATGTGTGCTTTGATTTGTTCATTGAAGTAGCCCTTAGAGACTGAGGAGAAGGAAGAGAAGTATCAGTTCATGTATAGAATGTCCCACAAATCACAGTAATGAATCTCTCAGCTGCCCAACCATGGAACCTGCTGCTTTCTTGCTGCCTCTCCAGGTGGCGAGTCCCTCTCAGGATCTTAGCCTTGCAGTTGTTCCCTTTATGAGCTTTCCCACTTCACGTGAACATTTCTATCTCCAGGCTGGTTCTGGGAACTGCTAGGGTCAGCCAGGGTCCAGTCCAACTTTCTCCTGTAGGATTTTGATGGCTTCCTGTCTTATGTTTAGGTCTTTCATCCATTTTGAGTTTATTTTTGTGTATGGTGTAAGAAACTGGCCCAGGTTCATTTTTCTGCATGTTGCTGTCCAGTTTTCTTAGCGTCATTTGCAGAAGAGACTGTCTTTATTCCATTGGGTATTCTCCTGCTTTGTCAAAGATGAGTTGGCCATACGTTTGTGGATCCATTTCTGGATTCTGGATTCTTTTCCATTGATCTGTGTGTTTTTGTGCCACTACCATATTGTCTTCATGATTATAGCTTTGTAATACATCTTGAAGTCTGAGATTGTGATGCCTTCAGCTTTGGTTTTCTTTTTCAGGATTTTTTTGGCTATTCGGGATCTTTTGTGATTCCATACAAACTAGGATGCATTGTTCTAGCTCTGTGAAGCTCTCATGTTATTTTGGTAGGGATTGTGAGGTGTGTCTTCAGACCCTGTTTTTCGTTGGTAGTCCTTTGAAATACTTGCTTTTGGCACTAGCAAGTACATAATTCATTGCAGAGTATTTTTGTGGTATTTTGGAAAAAATGTCCTCAAGGGCCATTAATAGAAAAATGTTTGAATGAACTATACATGTTCCTATAGTAGTTAAGAATGTCTATATAGGGGGCATCTGGATTATTTAGAAGAGCGTACAACTCTTCTAACTCTTGTTAGAATCTGCGAGCGAGTGAATGGGGAGGGGTGGTGGTGGCAGAGAGGGGTAGAGGGAATTCCAGCCATGTTCTCCACTGTCATGTGGAGTTTAACGAGACACTAAGCTCAACTATGAGAACAAGATCATGACCTGAGCCAAAATCAAGAGTTGGACACTTACCAGCTCAGCCACTCAGATGCCCCAGAAGAGCATATGACTTTTGATCTCGGGGTTGTGAGTTTGAGCCCCACATTGAGTATAGAGGTTACTTAAATGAATAAATAAACTTAAAATGTTTACATATATTGATGTGAAAACTCCATAATATAATCAGATGAAGGTCAGTTCCAGAGTGTCTAACATATAATATAATTAATGGTATAAAAGTATATATATATATATGACAGCTAGCCCAGGAAGTTCTGTTTCTCTGTTTACTAAAATACATGGCAATTTAGAAGATCTAGGAAAATAAACTCCAAACTGATAGCACTGATTTTTTTTTGTTGTTGGATAAAAACGACTTTATTATTTTGTTTTATATTTCTGTATTTGAACTTTTAAAAATAACATATATTCACATTAATACATATTATTGTATTTGAAACTGAATGGGAATGCATTTACATTAATGAATGAGCATTATTTAACAATAAATTGTTAAAAATACAGATTATAGATACCGCAGCTGGATTTTTACCAAGTATTTTTATGGCCTGTTTATAGCAAAACTTTTTATCTTTTTTAGGTCCTCATGGAAATTACAATTAAAGGACTGCCCCAGAAAGTTTTAGGTTCACCAGCATATCAGGTTGCTAATATGGATATTCTTAATGCAAGTATCTTAAATGTAATGATGTGATTAAAAATTGCCGGAAAAAAAAAAGTTCCATGACAGTCGTCGTTGTTTTCCTTAATGTAGTGAAACATAGATTGAAGTTTTGAGAGAATTAAATTTGGATATGCTGATTATATTAAAGGGAAAACCTGCTATAGTAATAGGTTAATGTTAAGAAATACGGCACAACTAATGGAACTGTTTTTCTGAATTACATAAGTTCTTTAAGGAATGTTTTCTACTTGCTTATACATAGTAATAATGGTGGTTATTTGTTGAAAAACTTGGAACATAGTTGCTTGATTATGGTGAAATAAACTTAACTGCAATCTCCCATCTTTCTTCAGGGGACTCCTGCTTTGTTCTTAATTCAGTTAATTTTCAATAATAATCTCTTGGAATATGGTGTAGAAGATGAAAGGTAATTTATGTTTTTTTTTTGTTTTACTTTTTTTTATGTTTATTTTTTTGAGAGACAGAGCATGAACAGGGGAGGGGCAGAAAGAGGGGAAGACAGAATCTGAAGACAGGCTCCAGGCTCTGAGCTGTCAGCACAGAGTTTGACTTGGGGTTCAAACCCAAGAACCATGAGATCACGAACTAACCCAAAGTGGGACACACTCAACCAACCGAGCCACCTAGGCGCCCTTTAAACTAGTGTTTTTATAAACTTGGAAAGGTGGTTATTTGATGATGAGAGTCTTGAGTTATATACGATATCCTTTTTTAAAATTAAAAATACAAAATACAACTTGGGGCTTAACCGATTCTTGTTTCCTTGTCAGTTTATAGAATTTTATTATAGTTCAGCGTATTTTGGTTAAACGTGCTCTGGTTAATGCATGGCTCAACATTTTTTCTTCAGGTTTTTTCTTAATCTGGAAACACTTGTAGGCTGTGTCCTTTCTGGTCCAACTTCACCACTAGCTTTCAGTGACTCTGTTTTAAGTGTTATTAATCAAAATGCAAAGCTGTTGGAAAACAAGGAGCATCTCTGGAGAATGTGGAGTATTATAGTCACCCCATTAACTGAATTGATTAATCAGGTATGACATAAGTGCTACATATTTCCTGTAAAACTTAAGAAGTTTGAATTTGAATAGAAGATGTTAAAAATTTTCTCCTGTGGGATTAATTTCCTATTCTTTATATTACTTGATTTTTTTTCTTTTCATTGCAATTCTGCCTTTTTCAAGAAGGTATAACTCAGTGGGGACTAATCAGCCCCATTGTTTCCAGTAGTGATTATAAAACCAGACAGCTCAGGTTTGTTACATACAACTTTTCATATTTATATTCCAGCTTCTTTCATTATTTGTACTATAAGGAATAATGTTCATCTTGACCAGTCTGTATATTAACATTTCCATGGACAAGCCACGTTGGCGATTGTGGCAAAGCTGTATAGTAGTAGTTACTGAGCCAGTAATCTGCTGAGAATTGACATTATTAGCGGGGTATGGAGTTCAAGTTTTGTCACTAGTAATGAATGGTTCATCAGCTGCTTTATCAGTCTTCAAATGAGTTTGTTCTGGGAAATACTCTGTTGCGATTCTGAAATAAAATGAAGATTCAACATTCATTAAGTAATAATACAATAGCCATTATTTTTACTACTCAATTCTGGATATCATTTAACATTCTTCTGGAAGAAAAATGTTACATTCCTAAATAGTTTTCTATTATTTGAAGGATAACAGTTCAAGTCCTTGATTGAATCCTACCTTCTATGTATAGTAAAAGGTTTTGGACTTAACTCTGGGATTTTTTCTTAGGACTTACACAGTGCATTGTTTCTCAGGGTTGTTATAACACATTATTGTAATCTGATGGCTTGAAGCAACAGGGGTTTAGTCTTGTAACTCTGGAGCCTAGAAATTCAATATCAGTGTGTTGGCAGGCTTGGTTTCTTCTGGAGCTCTGGAGAATTGTTCTACTCTTCTTCGTTGCTGGCAATTTTTGGTTGTTCCTAGGGTTATAGACACATCACTCTAATTTCTCCCTCCATCTTCACATGGCATTCTTACCTGTCTTTTTTGTCTGTCTAAATCCCTCTTATCTTAAAAAATACCAATTTTTGGATCAGGACACACCCTAATCCAGCGTGCATTCATTTTAACTTGATTACATCTGCAAAGTCCCTATTTCCAAATGAGGTTATATTTGCAATTAGAGAGCTTAGGAGTTCACCACCTCTCGAACATCTCAGCACTGGGGGACATATTCTTACTACAAATAATAAGATGGTACTACATAGACTAGAAGTAGATGTTAATTTGTCTAACTTCTTCATTATTTTTCTTGTTTCAGACCAATGAAGTGAATCAAGGTGATGCCTTAGAACATAATTTTAGTGCCATATATGGTGCTTTGACTTTACCAATAAACCATATTTTTTCAGTACAGAAGTTTCCAGTGGTAAGGCAGTGTCAGATTTTTTTTACTTCAAGAATTTACATTTTTCTGCAAATGTTATTTCACCCTTTATAATGAATACCTACAGTAATTTTTCGTGAAATGAGATTTCCTTATAACTTTTAATTAGCTTAGAGTAAAATTAAAATGGTGAAGGAAGAGAGAAATTTCTCTGGACCTCTGATAATTGTGGCATTATCACAGTTCTTCAGATAGAATTCTGTGGGGGTGGCAAACTTAACTCCTGTATGCTTGTGTCTTCTATGACACCTTTAATGTTACAGTGGCGTTTTAAGGTACATTCTATTAGGTGTTTTATATGTAGGTAAACATTTTAAAATTTTCTTCCTTACTGTTAATTTTAGGTCACCATGAAGACCTTACTTAGAACTTGGTCAGAATTATATAGAGCCTTTGCCCGTTGTGCTGCTTTGGTGGCAACTGCGGAAGAGAACTTGTGCTGTGAGGAACTTTCTTCCAAGATCATGTCCAGTTTAGAAGATGCAGGCTTTTCAGTGAGTTTATCCCATACCGATCTTGGTTGTATTTAAAGAATACTTCTCAAATAAATTGAGATGACATGTGTGAACTATCATTTATTAATGCTTTTAGTTGGTAAGTGACTAATATATAAAACAAGTAACAGCATGCAAAACAATTTTGTGTTTTTAGTCTATAAGACTTGAAGGTCCGTGTTTTAAGACCATTAACATAGATGCATTTTTAGTACTTTTCTACATAGGCCTGTGCCTGTGCCATTCTAGAATGACAACACAAGAACCTTGTCCTGGAGCTAACTTTCCCATTTATCTGTTACATCTTTAAAGGCAATCATTTAGAAGTTTGTAGACTTAAAAATGTAGGACTGATTTTATACCCTTCCTTTATTTAATAAAAGAGATACCTTCAGATGGTTTGTATTATTTTAGAATAAACTTTTTTGTATTTACACAAATAATTTACTTATGATACATATGTACATGAATACAGTGCTCTTGACACTTGAATTCTGTTGTATAACTGAAGCATGCTGTTTTCATCTGGACTTCTGTCATTTGATAGTGGTTATCACTGTTTAGAACTAAAGTAGAGATACTGGGGCACTTGGGTGGCTAGTTGGTTAAGCATCTGCCTCTTCGTTTCTGCTCAGGTCATGTTCTCAGGGTTGTTAAGTTCGAGCCCTGCATCAGGCTCCACACTGACATGGTGAAGCCTACTTGGGATTCTGTTTCCTTCTCTCTCTGCCCCTCCCTAACTCACTTGCTCTCCCTCAAAATAAATAAAAAGAAACTTAAAAAAAAAAACAAAAAACAGTAGAGGTACAGGAGCTAGAAATCATCTTTTCAGGGGCGCCTGGGTGGCTCAGTCAGTTAGGCATCCAACTTCGGCTCAGGTCAAGATCTCATGGTTTGTGGGTTCGAGCCCCGCGTCGGGCTCTGTGCTGACAGCCAGCTCAGAGCCTGGAGCCTGTTTCGGGTTCTGTGTCTCCCTCTTTCTCTGACCCTCCCCTGCTCACACTGTCTTCTCTCAGAAATAAATAAAAACAAAATTTTTTTTAAATTAAAAACAAAAAAAAAACCCCAAAGGCCCATCTTTTCCTACCTACCGCACAAATACCTATTCATGGTTGCTTTTGTGGTGTTTATGAAAGCTGTTGCTGATGTGCATTTCCTCATATTCAACCAGTCTTGTGTTCTTGGGATCCCCTTAGTCACAGTGAAATTCTTTTCAAACGTAGCATGTAGTGTTTTAAGATTTTTTTGTATGTATCTCCATTAGTGAGATGGGAATTCCTCATTGTCTAGTTTTTGTCTAGTGTAAGAATGTCATATCTATAGTTGCGTTAATTATCACAAAGTCACAGATAAATTCTATTGTATGAAAATATAATAATCAGAATTACCCCCAAATTATGGAAAAGAACGTTATATGTGATACTAACATTGTATGTAAATTATTCTCAAGTTTTAAAAATTGAAAAAATAAACAAAAGAATGTTAAATACGTTCAAAATTCGGAAAAGATGGATTTCTAATTTTTAAATTTTCTGTGTCATTACTATATACACTGAATGTTTTTGTTTCCATTTTCTGGGTAATTTTTTAACTTATATCTGAAGGCTTCATCTTTTCCAATAAATGATCTAAAGCTACTCTTATTACTGCTATTAATAATCATAGAATATTAATTTTTTTTTAGTTCTTATTTTGGTCCAAGTATAGTTAACGTACAATGTTACTGTTTCAGGTGTAAAGTACAGTGATTCAATAATTTGCTACATAACAGTGTTCATCATAAGTGTGCTTTTAATTTTTTTTATCTATTTTGCCCATTGCCATTGCCCTCTGGTAACCAACAGTTTCTTCTCTGTAGTTAAAAGTCTGTTTTTTGGTTTGCCTCTTTCTTGTTGTTTTTAAGTTTTGGGAGAGAGAGAACGTACATATCAGGGAGGGGCAAAGAGAGAGACAGAATCCCAAGCAGGCTCTTCACTGTCAGCCCAGAGCCTGACCCCAGTCTTGAACCCATGAACTGTGAAACCCTGACCTGAGTCAAAGTCAGACACTTTATCTACTGAGCCACCCAGGCAACCCTGTTCTTGTTTCTTTTGTCTAAAATTCCACATAGTGAAATGATATCCTTGTTTTTTCTTTGACTTAATTCATTTAGCATTATACCCTTTAGGTCCATCCACCTTGTTGAAAATGGCAAGATACCATTTTTTTTTTTAATGGCTAAGTAATATTCAGTTGTATATATACACCACATCTTTATCCATTCATCTACTGATGGACACTTGGGCTGCTTCCATAATTCGGCTCTTGTAGGTAATGCTGCAGTAAACCTAGGAGTGCATGTATCTTTCAGATTAACGTTTTTGTGTTCTTTGGGTAAATGACGTGGTGTTCTTGGATCATATGGTAATTCTATTTTAATTTTTTGAGGAATCTCTGTACTGTTTTCCAGAGTGGCTGCACCAGTTTGTATTCCCACCAGTGCATGAAGGTTCCTTTTTTTCCACATTACTGCCAACACTTGTTTCTAGTTTTTTATTTTAGTCATTCTGACAGATGTGAGGTAATATCTCATGTGGTTTTGGTTTTTCCTGATGATGTGTGCTGTTGAGCATCTTTTCATGTGTCTGCTTGGCTATGTGTGTGTCTTCTTGGAAGAAATGTTCATATCTTCTTGCCATTTTTAATTGAATTATTTGTTGTTTTTGATATAATTGGGTTGTAGAAGTTCTTTACCTGAATACTGACTTCCGATATGTTATTTGCAAATACCTTCTTCATTCCAGAAGTTGCCTTTTAGTTTTACTGATTGTTTACTTTGTTGTGCAAAGCTTTTTATTGTGATGTAGTGTCAATCATTTATTTTTGCTTTTGTTTTCCTTGCCTCAGGAGACATACCTAGAAAAATGTTGCTGTGGACAATATCAGAGATAATTACTGTGTTCTCTCTTCTAGGATTTTTATGGTTTCATGTCTTATGTTTAGGCCCTTAATCCATTTTGTGTTTCTTTTTTTGTCTGGTGTAAGAAAGTGCTCTACTTTTATTCCTTTGCATGTAACTGTCTAGTTTTTCCAACATCGTTTGTTGAAGAGACCATCTTTTTTTTTTTTTTTGCACAGTTTTGCCTCTTTTGTCAAAGATAGACTATATTGTTAGGAATTTATTTATGGGCTTTCTGTCCTCTTCCATTGATCTGTGTGTCTATTTTTGTGCCAGTGCTGTCCTCTTTTGATTACTACAGTTTTGGTAGCATATTTTGGTATTGGGGATTGTGATAGTTTTAGTATTCTTTTTCAAGATTTCATTGGCCATTTGGAGTCTTTGTGTTTCCATACAAATTCTGTGATTATTCTCTTCTGTGAAAGATGCTATTGGGATTTTTATAGGGATTGCATTAAATCTGTTGATAGCTTTGGATAATATAGACATTTGTTTTTCCAGTCCATGTGCATGGAATATTTTTCCATTTGTGTCATTTTCAATTTCTTTCATTAGTGTTTTATATGTTTTAGGTTACAGGTCTTTTACTTCCTTGGTGATGTTTATTCCTAGGTATTTTATTATTTTTGTGCAATTGTAAGTGGGATTGTTTCCTTAATTTCTCTTTGTGCTGCTTCATTAGTAGTATATAGAAATGCAATGGATTTCTTTATATTGATACTGTATCCTGTGACGTTACTAAATTCACTTATCAATTCTAGTAGTTTTTGGGTGGCATTTCTTTTAAGGTTTTGTCTATGTATACTATTATGTCATCTTCAAATAGTTTTTATTTCTTCCTTACCAGTTCGGATGCCCTTAATTTCTTGTTCTTCTCTGATTGCTATAGCTGGGACTTCAAGTACTATGTTCAGTGAAGGTGGTAGGAGTGGACATCTTTGTTCTTGACCATAGAGGAAAAGCTCTCAGTTTTTACCATTGAGTATGATGTACACAGGGTTTTTCAGATATGGCCTTTATTATGTGGAGGTATGTTTCTTCTAAATCTACTTTGTTGAGGGTTTTATCATGAATGGATATTATGCTTGTCAGATGCTTTTCCTGCAGCTGTTGAAATGGTCATATAGTTCTTATCCTTTCTCTTGTTGTGATATATCATGTTGATTTGTGAATATTAAATCTCCACTGCATCCCAGGAATAAATCCCACCTGATCATGGTGGATTATTCTTTAATGTATTTTTGAATTCCATTTGATAGTATTTTGTTGAGAAATTTTGCATCTATGTTTATCAGAGATACTAGACTGTAGTTCTCTCTCTCTTTTCTTATAGTATCTTTATCTGGTTTTGGAAACAGTTAACTTGAAGCTTTCCTTTCTCTTCAGTTTTTTGGAATATTTGGAAAAGAATGGGTATTAACTCGTTTTGAAATGTCTGGTAGAATTAACCTATGAAGCCATCTGACCCTGGACTTTTGTTTGTTGGGAGTTTTTTGATTACTGATTCAATTTCATTACTCGGTGTTGGTGTATTTATTTTTATTTCTTCCTAATGCAGTTCTAGAATTGATCAGTATTTTCTAGGATATTTAATTTGTTAATATATAATTTTCATAATATTCTTACAATACTTTTTATTTCTATGGTGTCTTTATTTCTCTTTTTTTTAAGGTTTATTTATTTTTAAGTAATTTTTATACTCAAGGTGGGGCTCAAACAGACAACCCTAAGATCTAGAGTAGCATTGCTTTTCTGAAGAAGCTGGCCAGGTGGCCCTGTTTCTCTTTCATTTGATTTTGTTTGATTCCCCTTTTTTTATTGATAAGACTGGCTAAAGATTTATCAGTTTTATTGAATTTTTCAAATAAGCAGCTTTGGTTCCTTGATCTGTTCTATTGCTTTTTTTAGTTTCTAATTCTTTTATTTCCTTCCTTCTACAGTTTTGGTTTCTGTTTGTTCTTTTTACTGCTCCTGTAAGTGTAAGATCAGATTATTTGGTATTTTTTACTTGCATCTTGAAATAGGCCTGTAATGCTATAAACTTCCCTCTTAGAACCACTTT